TAACAAACTTGGGCTAGTTGAAAAGAGCTATTCTTTGGTTATAAGTTTTATAATATTTGAAGTTTTATTAGTTTTACATGTGGTCGCTAGAGGACTTTTTTCGACATTCCTACAGTAATGGTTAATTTTCTCAAAAAAATTGCATTGGTATGATTTTTTTATGAAACAATATCTAAAGGATGTCTAAACAAGCTCGCGAAAACCGCATCCCGATATCTTGTTCCTAACCTAAAATTTAGACCAAAGGAGATTTTATACTGAAATCCCATAAATTTTATTCTTTTCAAACTAATTTTACTGGAATTCTCAGAACAAAAGCACCTTTTTGGAATTATTACAAAACGCTAAAAGGTAAAGTAATGCTAATAACAAAAGGCATATTTTTGTTCAAATGCATATTCACTATGGGTATATACGAAAAAGATGATTAATAGAGAGAAGCAGACCACGGAATACAGCAAAGCAAATACCTAATCAAAATATAAATAATCCTTAAATTGTCAATAGTTGTCAATACTTTTACGTTACTTTCAGCAATTTTTCTGCTTACCAAATGCGTTTTCGAAAGATGAAGCTGTTGGTATGCTTGCAGTTATTTTAAATATCTTTGGAATGCCGCAATGGCAAAACGAGTATACGCGACTACGAGCCCCTTCCCACTTCAGTTGGCCCACTTCAAGATTTGTACCAAAATATGCCTTTATAAACTAAACATGACGAAACTATTTACTTCTAAAACAATTTATTTTCTCAAAAACATTTTAGATACACTCTAGTCGTAAGAAATACATATTTGAAATCACTTAGACCTATAACTACTAGAACATCTGAACCAATAAACAGTGTGCCAATAAATGCGCGAAGTTAACTAAGCAACAATTGAAAGATTACCATTGGGTAACATCACCTTTATTTTTTATTACCGCTGAAATTCTTTGGGGCATGTTGTTAACCAAGTTTTGGCAACCATTTGGTGTAAAACAATCCCATATTTCTTGAAGCTTTTGTCTCAGTTCCGTGATTGTACGAGCAGGATGTTGTCGTAGAACCTTTTTCATCTCGTGCCACAAAGTTTCAATAGGTGACAAATCTGGACTGCTAGAAACCCATTTCAAAAGTGGTACATTATTTTCTTCCATCCATTTTATAGCCTTTTTGAGGTATGGCACGCTGCACCATCTTGCTGAAACACAAAATCTTGGCCGGATGTCAAACATTCTTCCATCACTGGTAAAAGCGATTCTTCTAAAATTACCAAATATTTGTTTGTATCCACATTTCCATCAATAAAATGAAGTTTTCCTACTCCTTTTGATGACATACTGCCCCAGACCATAATGGATGCTGGAAATTTCACTTTTCTCTTCAGTCAGTCAACATGAGAATAACTCTACTGCGACTGTCACCAACACAAACTTCGAATCGGGCCTCATCACTCCATTGTATTGCACACCATTGTTGAGGTGTCCATTGTCTATGTTTTTTAGCCTATCTAAGCCGATTTTTCTTTTGCAGTGGAGTTAATAGTGGCTTTTCTTTGACCCATGAACAAGTTGTGCAACTTTAGGGTTTTTACTTCACCTTTTTTTATAAGAAAGCTTGCCTTGCAAGTGCTAAATCCCAGCTTGTGGGCCTCTGTATGAGTTGTGGACCTCGAAATTCTCCTTCCAACAGCGTCATTCCACAGAGAACTTAATTGTAAATAATTGGCACGCCTGTTTTTCACGATTATTCTTCTTAATGCTCTTCGGTCGGCATTTGTGATATTACTTTTTCTCACATATCGTGGCTTAATATTAACTGAAACAGTTACGTTATATCTTCTAACAATATTTCTCACACTGTACCGCGATAAGTCTAACAAAGTTGCAATTTCTGAGTTTGATTAATAAAAACAATTGTCATGGCTTTTTTTTTCACAGCCACCTATGCGTTATAGACTTATTTTGCATTGAGATGGAAATAGGTTGATATGCTGTAATTGCAACATGTGTTATTTTTATGCTGCAACTTTGATTAGGGAGTGATAAAGTTGGTGTTTTCTACTATATATTATCAAAATATTCATTGTTAATATTTCAAACCTATAACACCCTGCTACATTTTTATTATTTGTTTTTGATAAGAAAAAAACTAAGATTTCAATAGTTGGGCCAACAGTCTTTGCGATGTGAGACTTTTTTCCCGATTGGCAGAGAGCTTACAAGCTAATTGTAGTTTTCGGCCTACACTTCAGCGGCAAAGGATTGGAAGAACACAAGACAATATTAACCGCGTACTAGGATATATTGAAGAGAATCCTCATGTTAGCACAAGGGCATTAATCTTTGAGTTGGGCATATCACGATCAACGGTTTAAAATATTTTGAAGGACCATAGGTAAGTTCTAATGACCATCAAAATATAGGGATTTATTTGAATTTAACTTTCTTTAATTACCTTTAGAATGCACCCATATCATGTCGTTTTTCATCAGACCTTGAAAGAGGAAGACTTGTACTATTGCCGCTGGATGTTAGGCATGATACGCGGCAACAGAGAATTTTTATTTCAAATTCTTTGAACCGATGAAGCCACCTATAATAGTGACTGGATTTTCAATCTGCACAATTTGCATTATTCGTCTGCATTCGTTGCGTGAAGTTCAGCACCAAGGGTGTTGGAGTTTAAATGTATGGTGTGGCGTACTGGAAGGCAGAGTTTTTGGGCCGTATCATTCCAAGCAATCCCTAGATGGCCATGTCTTTCTTGACTTTTCGAACAATCAATAACCGTTGTTGTTGGAACATGTGCCACTGAAAACACGGCAAAACTTGCTTTTACAGTTGAATGGTTGTCCAGCACATTCTGCTATTATTGTGCGGTCACCAGACTTGACTTGATTTTTATTTATGGGGACGATTAAGCGACATCGTTTCATACTCAACCTACAACCAGACTGCAGTTTTGACTATCCTTGAGAGGCATTAGGAATGCATACTCGTAGATGGTCAGCATTTCCAGCATTTACAGGGGTACTAAAAACCTTTCTTTTTTAAAGCGGTCTTTAGTAATAAAAAGAAATTCCAGGAAAATGAATTTGAAAAATGAAAATTTAAGGGATTTCTGAATGAAATTTTCTCTGGCCTCAATTTTAGGCCAGAAACAAGATATCGGGGTGCGGTTTTCGCAAGCTTGTTTAGACATCATTTAGCTACTTTTTCATTAAGAAAATCATACCAATGCATTTAATTTTTTTGAGAAAATTAACATTTTCTGTCGGAATATCAAAAAAGCTCTGCAGCGGTCATATGTGAAACTAACAAAACTTCAAATATTATAACATTTGTAGCTCAAGAATAGCTGTTTTCAACTAGCCCAAGTTTGTTAAAATTGACTCAGCTGGTTCTAAGATACAAGGTGTTTTTTACGGAAACCTTTGAATACTCCGACCACATTACTGTTAGAGATACAGCAAACATTGTCAAGTCAAGGTCAGGTATCTTTTGTTAGGTTAATATCCCGGGATTCACATGAATATCACTTCTTTAGATCCAAGATTGCAGTCACTCTCTCAAGCGGCCATATCAGAAACATTTTCCATCTCTTGGCCGCTTTAGTGAGAACTTTTTTTGCCGCAAGCCTCTACGATAGATAGGTACTCAAATACAGTTGGTTGGAAGAGGAAGAGAATTTTGGAATAGAGCAGATATGCGTTAGTATACCGAGATCATTCCCCGTTCTAGTATTATATTGACTATTTACTGAGTTGTTAGTTCGAATCTGCAACATTTTGCCTGTTAGTTTAATCATATCAGCAAATTTCCCGGAAATAATTGTAATGCCTGGTTTTCTTGGTGTAAGCTGTTCAAGGGGGTATTTAAAACTAGGACGCATAAAATGAGTACACCAATTTTTGTGGGACAACAAAGAATGATAAAACATGTTTTTTGTGATTTAATCGAAAGTGTTTACACGAACGGAAAAACTTTTCATATAAGATTTTTAGGTATTTATGAGACCACACGTCAAAGGATCCGACTAATAGCAAAAATGTTATGGCAAAATGCGAACTTTGGCACTTGTTGGTAATGCGACGATAATATTACACAACTACTTGAAACTCTTCAAATCCGTAGGATTCATGCTTCTGGATAACAACAAAATCGTTTATCCCAAAAACATGTGACTTTCGGCCATCACTACTAGTTTATTGAGCAATATACAGGGTTCGTCCAAAAAGCATAATAGCAAAATAGACATGTTTACCTTTCAGATATGAATCAAAAACCATTCAGAAAGATACATGTTATTTCTATGCTTACGGGAACGGCGGCACATCCAGTACAGCGGGCGATACCGTACATCGCATTTGACGGTGAGCGAGTGACGAGAGAATAAGTCTGTCCTTGTCTAAGGGTTACGTGATGACAGAGAGATGTCATATAGTCGAAATCACGAAAGATGACGATTACGTCATACCATAAATTGTAACGAAATAATTACCGGACGTACGTCGATGATAAGGTTACGATGTCAGGAACATGTGATCGAAGTTAGCTGATTTCAGTGATTATTTTTATTTATTCTATTTCATGATTTTAAATTATCATTATCCGTGCACAAATTTACATTTAAAGACTTCTATTTGCAATAAAATTACATATTTATTAAAAAAAACAGCATTTCCTCTGTTCACAATAATAGTACGTATTTTGAACCTATTTTTCATCTAATATTGTTGAGTCGCTAGAGTTCTTACCAAAATCATAATAATACATTGGTATCAGCTCCATTAAAATGACCAATTGATTCTGAGAACATGGTTTTATTTTATAAAAAAAAAATACAAACACAAATAAGCATACCAAAGTGAAAATATTTTTGTACTATTTCATGTCATGCCATCCACTATTCATTTTAGCATAAGCTACAAAATTATATAAAACATATATCAAATAAAATAAACTGTACATTTCAATATGTTATTCCATTACTTATGGTCAAATTCAGATTAAAAATTAGTCGCTACTGTTAGATTCAGTATCGCTATCTGAATCAAATGAGATTATCAGTGGTTCTATTTCACGAGTAATAGTTTTGTTGTACCACTCTAAAATTACATCATGGGTATGCTTCACACATTTTTTCCAAACCTCTGGTGTAATTTGTGACAGAGCTTCATTCCACATAGCTAAAACATTTTCATCACTATGACCACATCTTCCAATATGTCTATCATAATACTGCTTAGCATTGGCCCATGTTAACTCGATGGCATTAAATTCACACTGGTATGGGGGGGTACGAAGAACTTCATGTCCATAACTTCTTATGATTTGATCTATTAAATACTTCTTTTCCTTACGATTTCTTTTCACTATATTCAATAACTCCACTTTAGTTAATGTTGGTTGGAACACAATTTCATTTTTAACCAGCCAGTCAATTATCTCTTTTTTTGGAGAACTTGTGTTTGGAGTCTTTTCCAATAAAATGCTATGATAGGATGCATTATCCATAATTATCACTGATGGCTCTTCCAAGTTGCAGAGGAGTTTTTCTTTTAACCACTTAATGAATGTCTCGCCGTTCATATCACCATGGTAATCTGCAGATTTAGACTGTGAGGAAAATAACAGACTTGCTCCATCAACAAATCCTTTTTCGCTCCCTGCATGGACAACAATAAATCGCTTTCCTTGAAAGCCCAATGGTCTCCTTACACTTTTTATTGACTCATCTTGCCAAGACTTTTTTGGACTGCCTTTTGAAAATTTCCATGCTTCATCCATGAAAACAATTTGATACGAGGAAGTGTTCACATAGTCATTATAACTTCTCAAAAATTTGGTGCGAAGTAAAGCAATACTGGATTGCTCAACTAGAAATCTTCTATTACCATCTTTTTTATATTTAAAGCCTATGGTGGGCAGCACTCTTTGTAAAGAGCTATTGCTGATAGAAGCAAGCTCTTTCTCTTTAAGCGTTTTATTCAAATTTGCTATTGTGACATGTTTCTCTGAAACAAAACAAAAAATCAATAATTTGGAATGTACCATCTCACGCTCATTATCATTACTTTCACTATACATTTGATACACTGTATCTCGTATATTATGCCTGACTGCATCAGATAAATCTGTTGTCTTAGACTTTTTTCTGGGTCTCTTCTTTCCAGGTGATCTTAGGACATTATCATTAGATGATAAACGGCGCTGTATTCTGGTAATAGTGGACAAACTGATAATTAGTGCCTGAGCCACCCTCTGAAAAATAATATAGAATAAATTGTCAATCATATGACCATATTTCTAACTATTACAAACCTCTTGGACAGCTAACAATGGTAATAGAGGCCCTCCATTATCCTTTTCTTGTTGAAAATAATTCAGCAAGGATAGTACCAAGCCCTGTGATTGAGAGCTAAGAGTTTTGCCTTTCATAGCGAAAACTAGAATTAAAGTCTTAAATGATGCTCTTATGTTGGAAATTATTTAGTTTCTACCTTAATAATAATTTTTATGATGAGTTTTTGTTTTGAAAAAAACAGTTATACACACAACAGAATACACCTCAAGACAGGAACACCAACGACCAAAGTATTGTTCGAAAACAACCTAACCTGCAACGAACTGTCAACACGCTGACATGACATAACCTCACTTGTCATCTTTCAAATGTGATCGATCACGAAACATGCAAAAATCGTCTGTCTTTATCGGATACATGCAATTCAGCAATACTACTTGTTTAGACAATAAAATTTTGTTTGTCTCTGTCTAACACATCTGAACCTTCATTTAAAAATATTCACAAATGGCTGTCGTTTGTCTTTACTACAGAATAAAATGATGACGTAATCGTCATCTTTCGTGATTTCGACTATACCCGCAGATCAAGTCAGTGACGCCACAGCTTTGCCGAGCAAAACATCTGTCACATTTGCGCGCAATTTTTTATTAAAAATGAGGTGAATTATTTACGCAGTAAGTACTTTATTTTATATTGAATTGTATTATTTATTTAACTACGTGTCACGATATTGATTCAGAATCCTATTTACATTATTTTTTATTTGAATAAGACAGATGGTTATTTGTTATTAAATATTTTTTACAAATGGCGGCGTGGGGTGGGTTCGTACACTTTTGTACGGTATCAGCCGCAAGTACGGTATCAACCGCAAATAATTTTTTTATTTGATTTTATACAATAATACTTTACAATTTTATCCTTCTTTCAGATGCCACGTGGGAAGAAACTTGGTCTCCTGGTCTCCTCGCAAAATGAGGCTGGCTTTAGAAGAAATAAAAGCTGGAAGCAAATTACGTAAAACAGCTGAAAAATATGGGGTTCCAGTCATAACTCTCCACGATCACGTGAAAAAGGGCCCTGGCTGGACGGGAAGCCTGTGTTTACTCCTGAACAAGAAGCGGAGATCCGAACTGATCTGATAAAGATGGCTAAAAAGTTGCATGGGTTAACACTAGCAACACTACGGAGAGTTGTTTATCGGTATGCTGAGAGAAATAGAATTCGACACCCATTCAACCCAGAAAAGAGAGAAGCCGGAAAAGACTGGTTTTATGGATTCATTAAGCGTAACCCAGACATCAGCATCCGGGTACCTGAAGCAACTAGTGTGAGCAGAATCACTGCCTTCAAGCAGTCTGAAATGGAACTGTTTTTCAGTAACTTCATCACCTTACTTGAGAAACATGCGTTTCCTCCGAACAGAATATACAGATGTACAGATATACAGATGTATAATGTTGACGAGACAGGGTTTACCACTGTCCATAAGCCAGGCAAGATACTTGCACCCAAAGGGCAAAAACAAGTTGGTGCTGCTAGAAGTTGGGAACGGGGCAAGAACGTGACAATCTGCTGCAGTAAGAGTGCTACAGGCACACCGTTATTCATTTTCCCACGTCTTCGTATGGCACCTTCTTTGGAAAGGGGTGATAACCCTAATACAATATACCGGTGATCAAAATCAGGATGGATGATCGAAGAACTGTTTTTGGTTTGGCTGAAGCACTTTGTTGCTCACACTAAGCCAACTGTGGATGACGTAGTACTGCTGATTTTGGACAATCATGCGAGCTGGATATTTAAGACTTTTGTCGTGGCGTGGTGATGCTTTCACTACCGCCTCATACGTCGCACCGCACTCAGCCACTTGATCTAACGTTTTTCGGACCACTGAAGCATCAATATAACAAAGAATGTGATCTGTACATGAAAATCAACAATTATGAGAAGCTCTCGCCTTATGACATAGCACCTCTTTTCAGCAAAGCATATTTGCGAACTGCCACTCCAGAAAAAGCGGTCAATGGATTCGCAGCTGCTGGAGTTTGGCCAGTAAATCCTGACAAATTCACGGATCTATACGCTGGTACTATAGAAGAGATGCCTATACAGAAGGCTCCTACACAGGAGGTACCTACACAAGAGGCTCTTAGACAGGAAATATCTACGAAGGAGGACCCCACTGATGAGTCAATGCCCTCAACTAGTGGAACTTCGAAGCAAACAACAGATGTTCCCAAAATTGATGATGAAGAAAAATTGGTTTCATTTATTGAATGTTTGGACTATTCCCTACCTCAGAACGAAGAATTTCAAAATAAAAATACGGAAAAGGAAAAAGGAAAAGGGAAAGGCCGAAAACAACATTCCCAAATCCTGACATCAACGTCTGTGAAAGTGGACATAGAAATAAAGAAAACGTTAAAAGCTATGAAAACAGAAAAATTTCAAGAAAAACTGAAAAAGGAATCAAATTTAAAGAGGAAGAAAACTACAAAAGTAGAGAAAAAGAAAGAGCAAAGAAAGCTGTCAACCAAGAGAAAAATTTTGAACAGCTCGAGCTCTAACGATGAGTCTCTGAAGCTTAGCGATAGTGATGACAATAATGATATATTTTATGCAGAAGGAGAGACGGGTGTCACAAACGAGCTTTGTCTGATTTGTGGAGAATTCGGTAAAGACAAAGAGGTCTGGTATCGTTGCCTAGTGTGCGGGCAATGGGTTCACGCATTGTGCAGCGACAAAGATGTACCCGAGGGTTACGTTTGTGAATTTTGTTGCACCTACAGTATATTCAGATAAGAGATAGACCGGATGTAAACAAAAGGTTCGGGTGATTTTCACGCTAACGCCGCCGTCTCGACGTAAAACAGGAGCCCTCATTGGTCAATTCGCAATTAAATGCCTATGCCGAGCGGCAGAGCAGTCGTATCAAGGAAGAGTCACATTCAGGTTCAGACGTGTTACGTATGTCGTGTGCATCATTGCAATTTGATATTTCTTTGGACGTTTTTGTTTGTTATCTTATTAAGTTGTTGAGTTTGTCGTTGTTATTGTTATACCTTGTTATTGATTGTTATTGTTATCAACTGCTTGCGCAAAATGCCCAGTAGTACAGATACTGCCGATGAAGTTGTAAACTCCTGTAGTCCACCTAGGAAACGCTCTAAAAAAAGACACCTGAGTGCAGAAATGAAAGAGGTCATTTTGAATATATATAAGATCGAGCGCGAGTAGAACGAGGCATCAACCATCAAAGAAATTGTTGTGAAGGTTTCTCACAAAGTTGGGGTGTGTCGCGCAGCAGTGTTTAATGTGTTAAGACAATACAAAAGAAATCACACCTTTTCTGAGCCAATGACCAGTAAACATCGCAAAAGTATTGTTAAATCTTTGGATGAAGCTGATAAGCATGCGATTAGGAGGAAAGTGCATGAATTCTTCTTTAGGAATGAAATACCTACTATAGATAAAGTACTGCAGGAGGTAAATGGAGATACAACGTTGCCAAATTTCAAACGATCAACTTTCCATGCGTTACTGAAGCATTTAAATTTCAAATAGAAAAAACGGGGTCGTAATAGTTTACTACTGGATAGAGAAGAAATTGTGCTATGGAGGAGGGATTATTTAACAAAAATTGGAAATATAGAAATCAAAACAGGAAAATTTATTACCTTGATGAAACGTGGGTAAACGCAGGACACACTACAAGTAAAGTATGGGTTGATGATTCTGTAACTTCATCCAGGAGGGCCTTTCTAGATGGACTGTCCACCGGATTAAAAAATCCAGCAGGTAAATACGAGTAATAGACAACAATCGGATGTTTTTCAAACCTTGGGAACAAGGTTCTAAACATTAATTCCAGGGGGCAGATAAAACATATTACAAGTAACAAAACTTTTATAACTTTCGATAAAATGCGTGGATGTTTTATTGTCATTTTCATTTGTTAGAACTTTTTTAAGAAATGTTTTTATGTGTTTTCGATATTTCAATAATTTTTTAATATAATCTTAAAATATGTCGAATATTATAAACTTAAAAAAAGTTACTAAGTTTTATACTGTGTACCGTTCCTAATATTTCTAATCATTTTAATTCATACTTTAAGTTTTATAAAGTTATAATTTGTTAATATTAATATTTGCGCGTATTTCAGGTTCCTGATCATTCATTTTTTATAAGGTTTATAACTTTAAATTAAATTGTGAAGCGCTGAGTAATCATACGACGTTCAATATTCTTTCTTTCAATATGACTAAATAATCCCAATTATAGCAATCTGATACTCATGTCTCAATGTTTTTTCGCTGAATGTGATGAAAACATTTGAAAAAGGTTCGTTGTTGACGGTCTGTGGTGCTTTGAGTCTAAGAAAACTGGAGATTACCACGAGGAAATGAATGGCGAATCGTTTGAACAGTGGTTTTCAAAAATTTTACAGAACTTAGAGGAAAACGCAGTAATTGTGTTGGATAATGCGCCTTATCATTCTCGAAGAATGGAGAAGGTCCCAACAACGGCTTCAAGGAAAGTTGATGTTCAAAATTGGCTCCGCTCGAAAAATATCAACTTTGAAGAAGCAATGCTGAAAGTACAATTATTAAGAATTGTCAAGGATCACAAGGCGGAATATCAGAAATACACCATTGACGAAATGGCAGCAAGTCAAAATAAAACTGTGCTCCGTTTACCTCCATACCATTGCGAGCTCAATCCCATTGAGCTCATATGGGCAGAGGTTAAAAATTATATAGCTAAGCACAATACAGCTTTTAAATTTTGTGACCTCAAAGGACTTTTCAAAGAAGCACTAGAATTAATAACAGCGCAAAAATGGGAAAACTGTATTAAGCACGTGAAAGACAATGTTGAAAAGAGAATGTGGGAACTGGACAATATTTTAGAGGAACAAGTCCAGCCATTCATTATTGACGTTGGTGCTTCAGGCAGTAGCGATGATGAAAGCTCATCAAGCTCATCTTTCCAATAAAAGATGTCGTTCATCAAATTCGGTAAGTTATAAGTAATTATAAAGCTACTGTATTTTTTAATTAATTATTGACATTTTTGAACCCATTTTGGCAAAACCTATTCAAGAATCTACTTTCTGACAATGTTCAACCATGCACATTTTTTTACGTTTTGAACGTTTTAATTTGGTTACATATTTACCTAGAAATCAAAAAATATACTAATCAATATTCTAAAAGCAATTTTAAGAGAT